GCGGCGTAAAATCCACAGGGACTCCTTACTTCCTTATCTTAACGTTAGACGAGCCTTATTGAGAACATGGACTAGATACAAACCTAAATTGCTTCTGGAAACACCTTTGTGGAATTTGGCCCAAGAAATATTTTATAGATGACAAATAACAGGCAAACACAAATGGTTAACCTATTGTGAGACACTAGAATTTTGTCAAGTGGGATGTAAAATAAAATTGTGAGAACAGCCGTTGGCAAGGGGTAGAACTGTCAATGGTTCTCTTATTTATAACTATTATAAGTAATTCTGGGGAAGACCATCTTCTGGGAGCCCAAGACAACTGCCAGCCAAGGGGTAGAATAATGCATTATGTTGAGAAACCATTCGGACCAGTAGAAGATTCCTAAAGTATAGTGGTTTTCTTTTTGTCCAACTCATTGACAAAGGCCAGTCAAACACCTGGGGATTTGTGCAATATGCTAAACTTAGTTCATGCTAACTCCATGTACATTTTTGTGAGTTGAAGGATTGGGTGAACCTACTGCAGTTCCTTCGGCCACTTTATGATTCTACTACGTGTATCTCTCTGGGAACTGAGTAATTTCATCAACCAAGATAAGTGTGTTTCTGCAACTTCACCCCAAAGTTATCGCAAGAAGATACCACAGTGAACAAAAATAGGCTGGAAGAAGAATAAACCAGAAGAGCTGCTGTTGAAAAGGAAGGGCTAAAATATGGATTTGACTTTAGAAAGGAGGAAGAGGAGGAGATTCCTCCTGATCTGATGAGGTGAATTCTGTCTGGTGGTGCAAAGCTCTGGCTTAAGTTCATCTGCCTTTATTCTTCCTTCTGGCAAATCCTGGTCCACATCAACAATTGCCTGATGATCCTTGGCACCTCTCTTGACCAAGTGAGGCCTCCTCAGAGATGGGTTCTCCAAAGGACAATTGGTTGAGCTATCCTTTCAAGAGAGGAACGTGGTGGCTCAGTGGCTAGGACACTAAGCTTGTTGATCAGAAAGGTTGGCAGTTCAGTGGTTCGAATCCCCAGCACCGCGTAGCGGATTGAGCTCCCGTTACTTGTCCCAGCTTCTGCTAACCTAGCAGTTCAAAAGCATGTAAAAAATACAAGTAGAAAAACAGGGACCACCTTTGGTGGGAAGGGAACAGCGTTCCATGCGCCTTCAGTGTTTAGTCCTGCCGGCCACATGACCACGGAGACGTCTTCAGACAGTGCTGGCTCTTCGGCTTTGTAACAGAGATGAACACCGCCCCCTAGAACCGGAAACGACTAGCACATATGTGCAAGAGGAACCTTTACCTTTACCTTTATCCTTTCAAGAAGATCAGATTGTATCAGATCAGACATGTGACTGCCGCATCTATATCGACGATCATCTGTAAGCACCTCCAGCTTAAACGAACCAAATTAAAAACCCTGATTTTAAGAAAAAAAAATCCATGTAACCCTTTCAATCTTGAATGGCTTTATGTTGGGCCCAAGAGGGGAAAACGCTCCAAGAAAGGACGAGGAAGAGGCGCAGGCTTTCCAAATCCCATTGGTTCTGTCGCCGAGCACTGTGTGATATTGCTATGGCAACAGGATAAAGGAAGAGCCCTCAATACTGAGAGGATTCATTCAAATCCTTTTTTAACTGAGCAGAGAGAGAGAGAGAGCAGAGAGGCAGAGCAGCCGAGAAACCCCATATCTTGGCTCTGATTTCCCACACTGAACACAAGCCATCAAGGGGTTGCAAACAAAACTCGCCTTTGATTTCAGGGTGCGCACACATGCACAGCTCTGACGCTTGTCCTGTGATCTGGGTGCTTAAAACAGTGCTGTGCTGTGCTTAGGATCTCAACAAAGAACCAGGCAAATATTATTGGCGTTTGACTTGACTCTGTGAATGCCAGACAGCCAGGCCTCTGTACCTGTGTTGACTAATCAAGAGAGCGACTTTGCAGACTAATAGAATAACAAGAGTTTGGAAGGGACCTTGGAGGTCTTCTAGTCCAACCCTCTGCTCAAGCAGGAGACTCCATGCCATGGTTGTCCAATCTCTTCTTAAAAACCTCCAGTGTTGGAGCACAACTCCACAACTTTGGAAGGGAACAGTTCCACTGATTAGGTTTTAAAGAAGATTAGACTAGACTAGACACTCACTTGTCTGAAATGCTATAGGATTTCCTGCTTGAGCAAGACTAGAAGACCTCCAAGGTTCCTTCTAGCTCTCTGATTCTGATTGTTCTCACTGTCAGGAAATGTCTCCCTAGTACTAGGTTCATTCTTTCCTTGACTAGTTTCTGTCCATTGGTCCTTGTTCTGGATCCTGAGCATGTATCCATAGCGTCACGTTTTCCTCTCTCCAAAGCCACTTGCTCCTCATCTTTGAGCTCTGTCTTCTTCTTCTTCTAATGCCATATCCGTCATCAGACATTGGTGATCATGTTGGTGATCCTATTTTTATCAACAGCCGCACGAAAAAGTGTTGTTGAGTTTTGTCCAAACCAGTCCCTTCGATTTTGAAGCCATGATGTTCTTCTTCTGCCTGGACCTGGTTTGTCTTCAATCTTTTCCTGGAGGATGAAGTGAAGTATGGCGTATTTTTCAGAGTCTTGCATCACATGTCCAAAGTATTCCAACTTTCACTTTTTGAACTCTGTGGAGAACATAAAACTACCCAAAAGAAGTGACCACCCAACTTCTGTGTTCTTGGGGAAAACTTTCTTTCCTCTCCTGGTTTGGTTCTGCAACCCAACAAGACAGACACAGACTTCAGAAGATAATTAGGACCGCAGAAAAAAACATTACTACCAACCTGCCTTCCATGGAGGACCTGTATACTGCATGAGTCAAAAAGATGGCTGTGAAAATATCTACAGACCCCTCACATCCTGGACATAAACTGTTTCAACACCTTCCCTCAAAACGACGCTATAAAGCACTGCACACCAGAACAACTAGACACAAGGAGAGTTTTTTCCCAAAAGCCATCACTCTGCTAAACAAATAATTCCCTCAACACTGTCCAACTATTTACAAAGTCTGCACTACTATTACTATTAATCTTCTCATCATTCCTTATCACCCTTCCCCTCCCACTTGTGACTGTATGACTATAACTTTGTCACTTGTATCCTTACGATTTATCTTGACAGTTTCCTAGTAAGATTTGATTGCTTATTTGTACCCTATGACTATCATTAAGTGTTCTACCTTATGATTCTTGGCTCTTGATGAATGTATCTTTTCTTTTTATGTACACTGAAAGCATATGCACCAAAGACAAATTCCTTGTGTGTCCAATCATACTTGACCAATAAAGATCTCTATTCTATTCTATTCTGTTCTGTTTTGTTTTGTTTTGTTCTGTTCTGTTCTGTTCTGTTCCACTCCACTCCACTCCACTCCACTCCACTCCACTCCACTCCACTC